ATATGTAAGTATTAAATGTCCACATAAATATAGATTTTATAATAATAATATTAATAATAATAATAATAATAATAATAATAATTATTATTATTATTATTATATTATTATTATTATTATTATTATTATTATTATTATTATTATTATTATTATTATTATTATTATTATTATTATTATTATTATTATTATTATTATTATTATTATTATTATTATTATTATTATTACTACTACTACTACTACTACTACTACTACTACTACTACTAAAAATCAGTATATTTATATTTCATTAACATTGATTGATTTGTTAGTAGACTATATTGAATTGTAAAGTATAGAAAAATGCATTGACTGTAAATTTACAGTAAATACCTCACTTTGTACCGTAAATTTTGGGTTTATTTTAACTTTAAATTTAAAAATTCATAAAATGTCAAATTTCTATCCGAATGACTAATATATATATAAAAATAATAATTTAGTTTAATTATAATTTTCATTTAAATAGTCGAATATTTGTTAAGAATTTTTGCTATTTTTAATTTAATTATTAATAAATGAATTTTATTAGATATTCAAATTTCAGGTATTAATATAAATTTAATTAAATTTAATAATTATAATTAGAAGTGTTTTTAATTAGATTATTTAATTAATACAATAAATTAATTTGTTATTATGGTTATTATTTTTAACCGCTAACTTAATGTAGATATTTTTATAAAATAAATGTTTAAAATATTATCTTTATAATATAATTAAATAAAATGTAAATTAATATTTTTAAATATTTATAGCATTATAAAATATTATATACAAATGAGACAAATCAAATTTTTATTTAAAGTTTAAATATAAGTGAATAGATTTCAAAATTACAAATTTAAAAAATATATATTTTTATTTTAGGTATCTATTGATGCGTTAACTATAATAATGGCATCAAAACTGTTTGACTGGTTTTTTAATTACTCTATATATATATATATATATATTGAAATAGCAACGAAATTTGAGACAAACAAAATGATAAAATAAAAAGTAAATATACTTTAAAATAGAGTTATAATAAAATTTTGAATAAAAAAATACTATTTAAGTATTTATTTGATATTAAGTTTGATTTTTTTATCATATATTATATTTTATATAATAAAAAATTTCAAAAAAGAAAAATTAAAGTGTCAGCTATCAATCTGATTAAAAATTTATGAGATAATTTAGTTACTTTTTATTTACTTTATCTATAATATTTTTTTAACTTAACGATTCAATAAAGATCAATCAATTATCAATCAATTTTAACAAACTGTTTTGAAATAATAAGTTTATGTATTATTTATTTGTTAAGCATTTTATAAAAGCATAAATATATATTTAATAATTAATTATTATAAATATTTATTGAATCGGATATTAATTAATATTTTATACACTACACTAATTATAAAAGCTATTGTATGTCAATAATTATAAAAGTTAAAATATTTTTAAATAAAGTTATATTTTAATACAATATAACATTATGAAATATTATGAAAATTAACTTTATATATATAAATTTATATATTTATATTTTATAGTATGTACTCAATTAATTGTTTGTCATAAAATAATAATAATAATATAAATTGGTTTTAAAAAGTTAACAATCATATTATATAAAGCATTAAAAATTACTTTATATAATGAATTAATTTATAAATTGCATAATAACTAAACTATTATAGAAATTATTATAACTATATATACAATATACTGGGTATTATTTAAAATAAATATGATATATTAAACAATCTTTTATATAGAAAAATAATATGTAAATATAAATCATTACTTTATTGTTAATACTAAACAAAAAGAGTTTTTCTGAATAATTAATGTATTTTGTATTGAAGTTTAATATTTTGTGTCAAAATTTGTGTTTAATATTTTTTGAGTGTCATTGCATTTGCATATGTCTTATAATAAATTGCTATAAAGTTTGTCACATTAATAAAAGACTATATTTATTATAACTATTTATATAAAATGGTATAACATTTTAGTATATTTTGAGTAAATAAAAATTAAATTTTAATTAAAATAGATGCTTTAAGATTTTAGTAGAAAATAATTTTGTTATTTAATAATAACAACAAAACATTATATAATTATTGTTTAAAGTACCATTTTTTATTTAAATAAGTAACTTAAATAAATATGATATTATTTTATTATTTTTACTAATTAATAATTTATACAAAAAAAAAATCTGTTAAATATATCTTTATGTTTGTTATAAATATAGAGCTTTATTCACTATCAATACAATTATCACTGATAAAAATTATATATAAAATGATAAAATTTTAAAAATATATAGATAAATATTTTTATATACAATATATTGTTATATAATTTAACAGTATATTAAAGCATTTCATATCATGAATTAGTATTTATTTAACTCTTCTAATAAATACTGTATTACATTGTATACCAAATACTGTATATTTTATAGACATTATTATAAATTAGATTACTGACAAAATATATTGAGTTTTAAAATTAAAAAAATTTATATAATTTTCGATAGCAAATAAATCAAAATTATTTAAATTAAACTGATAATAATATTTTTATTTATTTTGTATAGAATTAAAACTAAAATAAAAAACATGAATATCTAATTATTAACGATATGAGTTAAAATTAATATTTATTTTTGTAATTATTTGTAATCAATAACTTAAAATATTCTAATGACATAAATAATTAAATTAAAATAAATATGCAAAATATATTATAAAATTATATAAAATATTATTAGTTTATGAATAATAGTTTAATTTACTTTCTGTTTACATTTTAATTTAATTAATATTATATATTGACAAATTTATGGTATAATACTGTATAGAAATTGGTAAATATAATATTTATTTTTGCCACTTATACTATATTAAATAACACCGATTATAATTTATTTTGACAACACATTTATTATTAAGATTAACTTATAGCATACATATAACTTATAAGTTATAACATACAGTATATTAATCATATATTGTATATCTATAGACCGTATAATATTTATATAAAATATAAGTTATAGTCTATCAAGTTATAGTAATATACAATACCTTTATAAATGTGTGTTCATCTAATCGATAATTCATGAGTCAATTAATTTACTTTATTGTGATATTTACTTATTATCACAAACATACAGGTAGTGTTAAACCAAAAAAAAAATTCTAAAAGTTGCTAAAAATATGTTTGAGAATAATAACTTTAATAATAAATTTACCAGAAAAATTAGTAAATTTATTTTTACACATAATAAAAATTTTATTATTATTATTCATAAATATTATAGCCAGTAAAAAATAATTATATATTATTAATATTAAGACTTTCAAGTATAATAAATTGTTTTCATAGAAATTTATGTTACAAATTAATTAATTTTATTTGTTTCAAAAACAATCTAGATTATTTTTTTTATAGTTTTACATTTTTACAATACTATATTTAAATTATGAGAAAACTCATTAGTTTTCTGTTTATTTAACATGTTTTAGTTATAATATTTAAATTAATAAACATTTATTTATTGTATTAATCTATATATGATTATACTGTATATTTTTGTATATATAATATTTATATTTACTAAAAATATTGCTTTAAGCATTATACTATAAATATACAATATTACTAAAAACATTTATAAAATTTAATTATATTTTTATAATTAATTAAAAATAAATATTGATAATAAAGTCATAAATTCTATCTATTTGAAAATGTTTTTAAAGTTATTTGTAAATAAAATAAAAACTAAATAGTTTTATAGACTAACTATTTTTATGAAATATTCTTAATTATTGTTATCTATATAAAAATTTAATTAAAACAGTAAATAAAAAATAGGTTTAAAATTTTATTACTATTTCTAATTGTACTATCATTACTAAGATTAAACAGATATAAATTTTTAAAAAATAAACTAAAAATGTATAAATAGATTAAAGTCAATAAAATTATATTTATTCTCAAAATGTTTGTTCGAAATCAATATTATAAAATATTTTTTTATATATACAGTACAGTACTTTTATAGTATTATATTTTGTTATATCATAAGCATTTTTAATAAAAAAAACAATTATGATTAAAAAATTTATATTATATTTTATTATACAGAATAAAATTTATTTATTTATATTAATAGTTATTTTGATATACTTTATTTTTTTTGTATACAATTTTACGTTTGCTTTAAATCATTGATGCAAAATTCAAATATTATTTTGAAATTTAATATTTTTAATATTATTGCAGTAAAAATATTCTAATAAGATTATTGTATTTATTTATTTTTATAAATATATTGAATAAAAATATTATTTATGCCATAATTGATATTTATCTTTATACATTTTAAATGTTACTAAATAAGATTTTTTTTAAATTGGATAATTATTTTTTAAAATATTAATTTATATATAAAATTTATTTAAAAAAAACTAATCAATAATTCTTAAGTTTACAAAATTTGCATGAAAATTGTTATCCAATCTAATAACAGTTAGGTATATACTTAAAAAAAATAATTTTGTGTTTGAACTGAACTTAACTTATCATATTATGACTTAACTATTAATAATATATACTGTATACAAAATTTATATTATAAATTATAGTAGAAAATATTTAACATAAAATATTTATTAAAAAAACAAAATTTAAATTAAATAAATTTAAAAGTACAGTATAACCCTATGTTTATATAAAGTATAGCACTCACACTCATTAAAACAGGAATTTATTAAAACGCGTTTTTTTGTTTAGTAAATTTTCATCAAATAATATGACACAAAAGTTACCGCCACTTAAAAAATTTGTACTCAATTTAATCTTTTGATAAAAACAAAAACATTATGCAAATGTCAAAAATCCTATTTATTTAATGGATGTTTTCATTGTTTGGTTTATTATATCTAATGATTGTTTAGGGCGTCACAGCTATTATGCCGACTATTGCCGTTGGGACTCAAGTATGACATATCACAGGTGGACACCAAAGATGGACACACCGTTAAAGTCTTATTTTCGGCGCAATCTTCGGACGCCATCGTCTATGTAACGGTCAGTTCAATGTTTATTTATCAAACAGTTATTTATTTATTTATTTTTATATCAAACGACAAAATGCAATATAATTTAATATACAATAGTATTGAATAATGTAATAAATACTGTATTTTAAATATACGTATAATTTAAAAACATTTATTCATAAAAATTCCTAACTTTTACTATTCTGTATATATATAGATAGATATACAGTATTTATATAAATTTATGTCAATTAATTTTTATACATCACTAAACATTTTTTGAAACATTATACCCAAGATAAAACTACAGTAAAATAGTCGTATATTTGTCTAGACATATAGGAAAGTCAATGACTACTACTACTGCCCACATATCCGTATAGTATTTACTGGACATCAATTGAAAATTATATAAAAGTGGATTCAAAAAATTTTATTGAATTTTTAAAATTTTTCCTTCAAAAATGTTAAGCATTGAAATTCATTCATTTTAGTTGTTTTTATATATAAAGTATTATCTAAATAATAATAATAATACTATAATTTTAAATGTGAGAGTATAATTTTACGATATACACAATAATTTTATTTCAAAAAAATATCTATGATTTTTATTTTTATTTTTTCGACAATATTTTGATTATTTCGACAATATTTAGATTATTTCTATTTGATTTTTTTATGGTTTATAGTATTTATATTATAATAATTTTATGAAAACTTATAGGTTAATATTTTTTTAACTATAAAGTTTATCGTAAATTTTATTTGAAATACAAGTACATTATTAAATTTTTTCTAAATTAATATTTTTATTTGGAAATGTTTTATTTGGTTTATATGTATTATATATTATTTACGAAATATTGAATTAATGATGACATATGGTGTTTAAGAAATGATTGACATTTAAATAATTTAATACATATATCATGACATAACAGCTTATAATATAATACTGTAAATATAATATACATGTATAATGCAATATATAAAATATTATTTAACATTAGCACCGGTAGACTAACTGAATATATTAATAGTACTATACTATAGACTATAGTATATTTTATATATAAATTTTGATGTAAATCAATGGCATTTAAATATATCTTAGGAAATAAAATGCATAAAAATTTTATCAAATATATCGCAAATGTATAAATATATTATGACAATATATTATATCTCGTATTATTATTATTTTATCTCAATCATATTACAGTGACTGAATGTATATATATATATATGTGAGTAAGTAAAACAATAAAATGATATATAAATTCATAAGATACACAAATATTATACATATTTATTTCATATATATAAGAAATTTAATATTAATAAAAAACAAGAAATTGTTTTTAGTTGTTGCAATGTGTATTATTATTTATAAATGTCATCTCATATAATAATATTATTAATAATAATAATCATATACAATGAAATACAAACACACAATTTTGAAACAAAGAGTAAGAAAGAAAGAGAGATATGATATGATATTATATGACATTTATTTTGTATTTTATGCATAAATCTGTTTTACATTTGTCTATTATATACAATAATTTTACGCTACAATAATGATAAAAGTTTTTTTACCAGTATATATAACATATACTTTACTAAATACAGTATATTTAAATAAAAATAATTTTTTAAGAAATAATTTTTATTTTACATTTTCAGAGGCATAATGTTTCACATAAATAGACATTTATAACACTTTATTTGTCATTTTCAATTTTTTTTTTGTTTGAACACGTTTTAGACTTTTGTTTTATATATTTATGATAGATATCAATATATTTTCATTATGATATAGATATTTATATTATAATTTTTTTTGTATGTATCATTATAATAAGAAAATATATGATATACATAAAATTTTAATTTGAATATATATTATATAACTTTATATTTTTAACGATATAGTGTATGACATTAACTTTTATGTTTATATTATGTTTTATTATGCAACTGGTATTACTGCTTACTGTAACAATAAAAGATTATGTTTTAATATTTATAAATTGCAACATATTTTTTACAAATAAGATACAGTATTTTACTATATCAATGTTAGTATAATGTAATAGTAGTACTTATTATTTATTATAGTGAAAACAATATTACATAATATTATGTGAATTACCTGCAATTAAATAAATTACTATCTAAGGGATAGTTTTATAAACTTAATGTATTATTGTGTAAATTATTAATATTTTTTTTATCAGAGTATACTTATAAATAAATGAATAAATAAAATAATTTACAAATTACTATTTTATTGATTTTTCTACAATTAGAAAAATATATAATTATTACTATTGTTATTATACTTTATATTAAAGATATATTATAATTTAATTTAATTTATCAACAAAATAAACTTGTCTTATAAAAAATGAAGTAATTATATTCACAAAAATAATTAAAATAATAATCACAATATCTATAAATAGATGATAAAATTCAATTTGAAAAACACAAAAGAGGTTTTTATAAAACTAAATTATTTTTTATTTTATTTTATTTTAGAGTCTGACTTAATTTACAAGAAATTCAATAAATTTATACTAAATATAAATCTTTATTATTTTATTATTCACTAACTTTTAGTCGATGTATTGATTTTATGTTTTAATAAAATTAGAGCCAAAATCACATTTCATTAGAAAAATTGAGTTTTATTTTATTAGCTCAAAAACAGCAATGAGTTGTATATGCTTTATATACAGTACAGTATAATATAAAGCAAATATAATAATACAGTACTGTATATAGTATTTACTGAATTTATAGACTCAGTTATAATTGCATTCAAACTCTTATATTTTGGGACAAAACAAATGAATTATATTGATTTGCATTTTTTGCGTTACTTTTACTTTATTTTGTGGATAAAAACCTAGTTATAGCTTAAGTAATGATATATAATATATATAATAAAAAAAGTTAGACATATAAAAAATACAACAAAAACAACAACAACAGCAAAAATATTTTCAGTGGTTATACTCTTTTTAATACATTATATATATGTATAGAAATGTCTGTAGTATTCAGTGGTAATGATTTGCTAATAGACGGACAATCGGAATCTGATTAAGTCATCGGAATATATATTACATAATCAGTGTATGAAAAGAACTTTTATATATTACTTATTTGGGGTAACAATACATTTCAATTGGCATATAAAGTGTATGAATTAGTGAATGTGTGTGTGTGTGTGTATGTATGTGAGTGAGTGAGTGTGTGTGTGTATATGTATGTATGTGTATGTGTATGTGTATGTGTATGTGTATGTGTATGTGTATGTGTATGTGTATGTGTATGTGTATGTGTATGTGTATGTGTATGTGTATGTGTATGTGTATGTGTATGTGTATGTGTATGTGTATGTGTATGTGTATGTGTATGTGTATGTGTATGTGTATGTGTATGTGTATGTGTATGTGTATGTGTATGTGTATGTGTATGTGTATGTGTATGTGTATGTGTATGTGTATGTGTATGTGTATGTGTGTGTATGTGTGTATATGAGTATGTGTGTGTGTGTTAGGAAATTTCTATCTAATACTTTTAAAACTCTTAGTTCAATCTCAACAATCAATATTACATATACTGTATAAGTATATCAACAAAATACTTCATTATACTGTATATACAGTGCAACTGATTATATCCATAAATAATAAGTAAACAGTTTTCATATTTATACTATAATATAAGTTCAGTAATTTTTTTATGGTTGAAATATCTAATTTAAAATTTGAAACACATTTATTTGTTACTGAAAAATGGTTATTAAGATTTTATTTTTACTTATTCACGTTTTTGAATCTAATATGAATTTTGGTTTTTTTAGATAAAATAAACTTATATTTTATATTTTTTTATAATTATCGCAATAAAAATGTCAGATAAATAGTGAATTTGAAATTCAATACAATGCTATAGTAATATATATAAGAAATTATTCGTGAATTGAATTTTTGATTTTACTCTTTAAATTTGATACAAAAGATTTCATATTATCATTTGACAACAAATATTTATAATATATATATATATATATGAAATCACAGTTTTACTTTATTTGCATATAAATAAATTATATTATAATTTAGATAAAATAAATTTAAGATTTCAATTGCAATTTCATACAATTGCAAATCAAAATTAAATTGATTTTTTTTTTTTAAATGATTTACTTTATAAGAAAATAATTTGATTTACTTTATAATTTTATAAAAGCATTCAAACAAACAAAAAATAAAATAATTTTAAAGGTTTTATATTTACTAAATTTAAAAACTATTTTATTATTAAATTCATTTTTTATATAAGTTTTATATATGTAAATTATATTATATTATATATATATATATATATATTAAATTTAAATAATATATGAATTATTAAAATTTAAAAAAATATATTTAATAATCTTTAATAATTTATATTTATTAATAGATGTATTTCATTAATATTTGAAACTATCAAAATTATGATTAATATTATAATGTTTTTAGTACTGTGTATAACATAAAGTATTTAATATTATAAATAAAAGTAAAGTGAGTAAATAAGGTATAAATTTATCAATATTGAAATATATTTTTATCTACCTAACATTAGATACTTGACATAAAAATTATTAACTCCTACTTAAGTATATTATTATTATTTTTGACATTTTTTTAAAAACAAATATTTTTTTATTTTAGTTTTCCCAGAATTCACTGCTTATAATTTTATTTTTTGTGGAAAATTTTCTTTATATTTAGAAATTAGTTTTTTAAACAATATATAATAGTAATAGTTTTTTTATCAATTTATACACAAAACACATTTTACACGATGTTATTGTTTAATAACATTTTATTATGTTTACTAAATTAAACTTAAAATATTTATCTAACAGCATATATAAATTACAATACACTAATTATAATATGCTAAATAAATTTTAACTTAAATATCATTATTTGCTTTACAAATTCAATCACT